GCATCAGAAATCCTGTATTATAAATAGTCCTGTTCTGTTTTTATATATTTTTAATTTTCAAAATTCTAGCCTTTTCTTGCACTTAATTGTCATGGTATTCATTGTATAAATTCCTAACTCAAATGCATTAGCAGAAAGGCAACCTTGCCAGATTGCAGAAATATGCTAAGTATTAAATCCCTTAAGGCTTAGGCTTCAGTCACACATGCAAAGAAGTTTTAAATGATTATGAAATACAAAAATGCGTTACAATTTTATTGAACTTACATAATATTTAAAAAAAATGATTTAAGGTTTATAAAAGCTGTGAGTTTTAGAGACATAGAAAATTTCAGAAGAAAAAAATCCCAGGATGCTGATGGAAGCATTTCTCTCTGAAAGGTCCCTTGTTTTTCACGTTGTCCCTTTTTTGTTGTTTCCCTGAGGAAACTGTGATAATAGCAGCATCCAAACCTGCACCCAGCACTGGAAGTGAGGCCAGCACAGAGAGAACAGCTCCTACCCTCACCTCACTGGGCCTGGGACATCCCCAGGTATGGTTGGCCCTTTGGGCTCCAGGGCACACTGCTGGCTCAGATGCAACTTAGATAGCACACATTCAAGTCCTGCATCCTGCATTTATCAAAACATTGAAGAGAACTGGCCCTAAAATAAAGCACTGTAGAATACCATTAGTGACCGGCCACCAGGTTGGTGAAACCCCATTTACTAGAAGTCTTTGAGGTTGACCCTTCAGTCAATTGTTCGACCTTAGCATTATACATAGGTTGCACTGAAAATAATCCCTGAAAATAATAAGAAAATAGGGATTGTTTTATAGTTCCATGGAAACTATAGCTGACACAAAGAACAGAATAACACTATTTGATTGAGTAGATTCTCATATATAGAACTGTATTTATCAACACAATCACCACCATTCTCTGCTCTGTATTTTTGACAGCTATGAACAAGAGCCTGCATGCCACACTTGTAAATATCTGCACCGGAGGAAGTGAGCCACTGTCATTGTCACCACAGCTGGGATGCATCACCTATGGCCCCACTGTGCTCACATCCACTGTTTGGTCTCCATAAACATTCAACAAATGTCAATGAATGTCAGTTGGTGCTATTTTTTAATGTTTTAATAAATGAATAATGACATAGAAGAGCTGTAGGACACCTCTTTCCTTTCTCTCTTTCTCTCTCTTCTTGTGTTCTATGATTTATATGACAGCAAATAATAGCTATCTCCAAAACAAGTGACTGGACAATACAACATCTGTAAGTGCAGTTAATAACTGAGCTGTTTAATAGACAGAATTTGCAAACACATTACTTAAATACAGTTTCATTATGTTGTGTTATTGATAGTCCACCCCTGACTACTGTACTTTAGATATTATAAACATTGATGAGATCCCTCTGTCAGCATTCCCTTCTCCAAACTGACCAGCCCCAGGTCTCAGCCTTTATATGAGACATGCTCCAGGTCTCTCATCATCTTTATTCCCCTTCACTGAGTACTATTTAAAAGATCCCTGGCTTTTTTTTGAACTGGACATGATATTCCAGATGTGGCCTCACCAGGGCAGAGTAGAGGGGGAGGATCACCACCCTCAACCTGCTGATTATACTCTTTTTAACACACCCCACTATTCTTTTGACCCTCTTAGCCACAAGGGCACACTGCTGGCTCGTGGCCAACCTGTCGCCCACCAGGACACTCAGGTCCTTCTCCTCAGAGCTATTTCCAGTAGGTCAGCCCCTAATCTGTTACTGATGCATGTGGTATAGGACTCCCCAGATGCGGGACCCTATACTTGCACTTTTGGAATCTCATCAAGTCCCTCTCCACCCAACTCTCCAGTTTGTCCAGATCTTGTTGAATGGCATCACAGCTTTCTGGTGTTTCAGCCACTCCTCCCAGCTTCTTATCATCAGCAACCTTGCTGAGTGCGAACTCCATTTGTTCACCCAGACTGTTCATGAAATTTTTGAATAAGTCTAGACCCAGTACCAATCCCTGGGGAGTGCCTCTAGTTACACCTCTCCTACTGGATTCTGCACTACTGATCACAACCTTATGAGCTCTGCCTCTCAGTTCTCAGTTCACCTCACTGTCCATTTGTAAATTTCACACTTCCTAAGCTTTATTACAAGGATGCTGTGGGAGACAGTGTAAAATGCCTTGCTGAAGTCAAAGTAGACAACATTCACTGCTCTCTCCCCACTTACCCAGCCATTGATGACATGATAGAAAGCTGCCAAGTTGGTCAAGTATGATTTCCCCTTGGTGAAGCCACGTTGACTACTCCTAATGACCTTCTTCTCTTTAAACTGATATCTCCTCTTTGTATTTCTGAGACTAATCCTATCAAATGTGTTGTTGAAAAGGTTAAGGTAGTTTTCTGAAATAATAACAGCAGTAATTGTTATACAGTTTTGGTTTTTTGCATTTCTCATTTCAAGAAAGTTCCTACACATGAACAGGAACAGTTGGTAGACTCAAATAATTGCCTTGTTTTTTAAGGAAAAATCATCTGACACTGTACAGCTCTATGCTGACTTGTGCAGTCGTTCTCTGAGGATGGAAGGTGAGTTGGTATTTGATTTACAGAAAAAGCCTGAATGTTTAAACTTTGAATGTTCTCCTTATTTGTTTGGATTCATATGAAAAATTGTACACAAATGCTTTAGATGTGTGATGAATGTGACTTTCTTTTTTCTTTTTTCTATCACATGGATTCAAACATAGCAGATTAACTCAGGTGTATGACGTATAGTAAGATATAGAGGTGCACAGGAGAAAAAATGCACAGCATTTACATAAGAAGCTTCTTAGGACTGCAAAGAGCATCAGCATGTATTCTTTCACTCCCACTTTTGCTTTATGTAATCCCAAATGCCTTAGCCAGATGCCAAGGCAAACAGATCAGCCACCAATTCCTCTCACTATTCCTTTCCAGGAATTCAATTAGAGAAAAAGACTGCCTAGTGAATATACTTCCCATTAGTTTCCCCTGGACCTTGGAGCTCAAATTCATTTGTAAAGCAGAAATAACCCACGTAGGAGGGTTCTTAAAAGAGTAATTTCTTTTAAAGGTCACACGTGCACTTTTGAAAGAATTGAACACCTGTGCAGAAGAAATTGTCAGAGCTCTTACATGAAATACAGGGTTTATAGACATCAGAATATCAAACCTAAATGCTTTTGTCTTTCAGAATTTTTAAGTGTACATTTTTGTACCTACATTACTTATAGCTAAACATGGCAGTTGTATTTGATGGCTGGAAACTACCCTCAGACTTAATTAACCCCTATCCAGCATCTTTATAAATTGGTCATTTAAAAGAGAGCTGAAAATAACATCATCTCTAATTCACAGTTCAGTTAATATCTTACACAGACACTCCTGGAAGGTCTGAAGTTAAAGGCCACAGTTAAGGAAATGCATTACCCCTGATTTCTTCCTAACTCAACTTCACTAAATGCAACAATTCCAAGACAAAAGACGACAGCTAGAGCCCAGCACCCAGAAGAAATCCTAGCTGCTTTGGTTTGTTTATTACTGAAGCACAAGGACAATCATCTATCAGCTTCCAATAGAATTTGAAAAGGTTACTCTTCTAAGCAGTACGCCTTTTTTTTTTTTTTTACAAAAAACTGTAAAAACAACAAAACACACAAAAAAAAGCCCAGAGACCAAGGCTAGCATCTTATATGAGCAATGCAACTGTTACCCAAGTAAGAAGCAATACACTTTTTGAAACTTCAGCAGAATGGAAAGTCTCTCATGTTGCAGTGAATGGGAAAATAATACAATTATTTTGCTGAAGAGGGTTTTTAGAAAGAAATCTTGATTAGATCAATTAGTTTGATTTTATGTAAATGAGAAAGAGATTTCTTTCAAGTATTGGTCACAGAAGCAAAATGTTAAGCTGTAGCATTCTTTCCTTCTTTTCATGCTGGAGGAAAAATAATATGTGAGAATAAACCATTTCCCAAGATTTCTAACTGATATTTCACTCTACAACAACTATCTTTAAATTGCTATGAAATGAAGTCTTAAAATTCCTGGGTTATACAACAACAGCCTCATCTTCTCACTAAAAGTAATACCTTTAGTATCATTCTCTGGTATCTCTTTTTTTTCCAAGTTAGGTGAAAACCAAACAGCCCTTGCTGTCTACCTCCACTGCCTGGCCTCTGTTACTAAGGGATTTATTAGATGCATTTCCAAGTCTGCATTAACAGTTACTAAGTTTATTAACTATTTACATCTGGTATCACATGAGCACGTGTAACATAAGCACTGCTGGAGTAAATGTATGTGCTATATAAATAATGAAGGAATAATGGATTGGATCAGCTCCATCTGGAAATGGGATAAACTTTGATATCTCAGGCAGGAGCTCTTTCTAAAGAATCAAGCTAATGTGAGTTTCTCACTGGAGAAAGTGGCTGGATACTTTCAAAGCTGTGTTGGAAGGCAGATGACTGCAGCCTCTGAAGCATGCAGCAGGTCCTTAATAGGCAATGGGTGAGCGTGCTTTGCCCTCCAGAAACAGGAATTTCAGTACCAGAAGAAGGTGGGTTTGACTGAGCAGATGCATCCTATTCAACCCAGAAGCTCAGAAGGACCTATTTTTTTCTGAGACCTGCCGTGGGGCTGGATCCAGTTATCACAGAAAGTCACGGCACGGGGTTCTCTTTAGCACCCCTGTTTTGGCTATTACAGCAGGGCAAAGAGCACATTCCTTCACAGAAAAAAAAAAAAAAAAAAGGAGAGGGAGAGTGGGAGAAGGAGAGAAGGAAAGACTAGTTGCATGTATCTATATACATATATACATATATATTTATGTATGTTGCAGTGCAAATGCTAAGTCATGGTCTGAACCAGTGACTGAGCACCTGGTAGGAAGGCAGGGCCAACTCAGGGGAGCTCAGGTGCATGCAATGAGTGATTGGGAGGGATAGATCCACCCCTTCTCAAACCTCATTTAAGGGTTGGCAGTGGAGGTGTGGATGTCCTGCTGGAGATCCCTGCCTACCTGAGGCTTTCTAAGGGTAAGTGGCTTTTCTTCCATTGTTTCTGAGGCCACTGCATTTGGGTTTGTTTTCATTTGCTGTAGCCTAGGATTGTGCCACTGCTATTATTGCTGTACTTTCCATCATGTTACAGTGCTACAGCATTACATATGTATATGTAAATATTTGGAAGTACTATTTCATTACTATTATGTTATGTTTAATGACATCAACAAAGAAGAATCTAAAGCAGGCTAATTTCCAGATAGACAGTGAAAATTTAACTAACAAACAAACGTCATGGGCAGAATGAATTGGGGGAGGTGATGACCCATACATGGTTAACCACATTTGGCTTAGAGCTTTTTACTCATCAGTACTGGAGGAGCCATTTCAAACACAGCAGAGACAGCAGCAAGGAGATGAGAGGAGCACACTTATACAGGCATGAGGATTACCAGGCTGCACTCTTTTCCTGATAAATGGAGACATCTCATATTCTTCTTGTGCTTTGCGATCCCAGCAAGAAGTGTTTTGTAGCTGTACCTCAGCAATGCTATTTGCAGCTGCCAGGGATTACAGGCACCGTTGCTTTGGTTGCACTCCATTCGCATTTTCAGAATTTCTTTGAAACTGTTTGAACTGGAAAACGAAGGTTCTTTCTGTGACTGTATAATTTCTGGAGCTAAGCTTCTTGTCCTGGACAGAATACATTGAACCATGCTTCAAATAATGTGGTGGAGACCTGCCTGGTCTCACAAGTTGGGAGATCTCAAGGGAAAGAGCAGATCTGAGATTAATTCCAACAGCGGTGAGCAAAATATCTGATCTACAGTATTAGTTCTTTCTCCAGTGTGTACTTGCAGGTACATCTTACACAAATGCTAGTAGGTGCGGGTATACAGCAAGAGAAAAATGATTCTCATTTTTGATGCAACTGAGGTATCATGAAAGCAATCAGATGGCACTGCAGTCAGGCTTATAAATGGGTGGCTAATAACTGGGAACTGATACAAATTAAATCAGATTGATTTTGCTCTAGTTGAGAGCTTAGTAATAACATTGAAATGCAGTGCGAAGAGAGCTGGTGTTCAGCCTCCCTGCTTGACAGAAACTTCATCCATCACAAAATTGTTGCAACTGAATATAGCACACTTATACAGTCTGCAAAAGATCTTCAAAAGCACCCAGGAGATTAAAGTGCATAAGAGCCAGTGACTTCAAATGGTACTTGCTTTTGTAAATGTCAACCCCTGAAACTACAGTAAACTTAAAAACATAAAAAATAATACTGTTTGAATTCCTACCTAGTTTTACATAAGCTTGACAGGCCTTGCTTTCATTTTAATCTGACATACTGTAAGGAGAAAACAAACAAACAATAACAACAAAAAAAAGCTGTTTTTTTCAGCTATTATCAAACTGGAAAATAACATTTAGAATAATATTTGTCTTATGGTCAATAATGCAGGTGCCCATAGCTGCTAAGAGCAGACAACAGGTGTAAATCAACAAGTAAGTTTATGTCTGAGAAGAGGCAAATGAAGGGAGTTAATTTACCTGGACTAATCATCTCATGTAGCAAATATTACTGCTGACGGAGCACAGGAAAATGGATTCACAAGAGGGAATAGCATAGCCTAAAGCATGCAAACAAAAGTAAACACTGATTTGCATCAGAGTCCTCAGCCTATTTTCTAAAAATAATAATGTTGTTTCCAGCAACCCGAGCACGCCTTATGGGTAGTGTATCAAGGGAAGAGCTGTTCATCTGAGAATATTTTAGCAAGAAATAGCATGAAAATCTAAAGGGAATGAAATTTAGTGGCTAGGGCAAAGGAAAAGCAATACAAAAAATGCATTCCTGTATGAGCCACAATGGTTCTGGCACTCCCCAAAAGTTTTGCAATAGCTGAGAAATCAAACTTCTGTGTAACTGTGTCTCCCTTGACTATGTGATTTTTATATTCTCAAGATATAAAGCATTTTCTTTTCAGTGGCATTCTGCAAGCATTAAATCCATCACCTATGTATTGTCAGCTATTTCCAAGGCAGAGAATTAGGACTTGCCAGAATTGGTAAGCGGGCTGCTGCTCTGGGAATTGCAAAGGATGTTGAGTGATATCTTCAAGGTTTTCTGATGAATATCTGTTTCAGTGAAGCAATCCATTCCCCACACGCACATTTTGTGATCTGTTTTGTTATCAATCAAGCCTTGCTGGATGGGAACACCTCACCAAAGCTGCTTCTCAAGGGAGGATGAGGAGCCCTTGTGCAGATGGGCACCATCAGCCATGGGCTGTCCAGCTTGCTGTTGTATCCAAGAGCAAGAAGGGACTATTGGTAGGCTCTGTATTGGCTGATCCAACACTTCTATCTCGTATCCTCCCTTATACTGTAACCCTCAGCCCACCTCCCTGCTCCAGACTGGGTGTGCAGCATGGTGGCTCACAGTGCAAATGCAACTCGAGGGCAGACATGGTGTAAGTGCAGGTCACGCAGTGGAGGTCAGGGCTGTTCTCCAGTTTTCCTACTTTCCTGTATACCAGCTGCACACTTCTGGAATGTTTGAGCTGGAGCTCTGACTGTGCACTGGCACTGAAGAAATGCTGTGCATATGAAAAAGTGACATTCAGTACTTTGTGTGTGTTTCATCAAAGTCTGCCTCTACGCAGGCAAAAATGTTACTCAAGAGAATTCTTCTGACTGGATGCTTTCAGGATTTCCCTTATTCTTTTGCACTTTCCTTTGTTTCTAGCCTTAACCTTGAAGCCTTGGAGCTATAAATACTATTGAATATTGCTTATTTAATTTAGTCTTATTGACAGCAGAGCCTGCAGAGTTTCAATCGCAATGCACAGCACAGATTCAGGATAATGGACATTTAATTCATATAAAAGGCTCTAAATCATGTACATACATAACAATGAAAAACGTGCAGGTACCTCTGTCATGCTAAGAGAACAGTAACCTCTATGGGAAAGTGTTTATTTAACTATAAAAATAGCTTTTACTACTTCTGTATAAAAGTATATAGAATACGGTGCTTAATGAATGTTTTCTCCTTGTGTGCATCCACATAAACAGAGGAGCTGATCATCTTTTTGCTATGCAGCAGATGTCTACAAGCTGGAGTTTGTGTTCTGTCCCAGCATCCCAAGCAATAATGTGTCTTTCAATAAGACAGGTCTAATATCCATTGAGATGAGAGTTAATGCTGAGAGGAAAGTGACTTCTGTGTTTACTTACCTCCAAATTGTGCTTTATCCCTTTCCATTTGCCAGATAAAAACAATTGATTGCCTTGCCCTATCCGTTGCAGAATAAAAACCTCTATCATCAGGGGAATATTGGCAACAGAAGAATTCTGGTGAGGAAAAAGAGTTACCTTTCCCTCTTAAACAACGATTTTAATTTCTTCAAATACAATGTCTCTCAATTACCTTTTAAATCCTAGGTGCAAGAGATGTTTCACAGATTCTCCTGGGACTGTATGTACCATATGTCAGAGGAAAGTTTGGAGGGCAAACTGCAGGATGGCTGATCAAACACTGATGTTTTTATTTTTAACTCTAAGACAGAATTTATTCAGCACAGCTGTGATTCCTATAAGCCTGCCAATTGCCTTGCATAACTTGAAACACGTTGCAATGCCTCAGCGTCAATGCTCAGGTATCCCCCGAAGACAACACTACACCCTTTAGTTTTACATAACTGAATAGGAAATATCAAAGTAATTCGTTATATGAGCAAAAGAGTGAGTGGGGAATGAAATACTCCAGCTCTTCAACATCAAGCAGCTTGCTCCCTTCCCTGCCACTTTTCCCCCTCCACCTACCCTTCTTATCTAATTCTCTACCCACACTCTCTACCTCTTCCTTACTGCGTTGTCGTTATTTATGTTCCCTTCACCTTTCCCATATTCCTTTCCACTATAAAACCCTCCTCCTCTCAGCCTTGTCACCATGCTTTGCTACTGTCTCCCACCACTGCATCCAATTCTTTCTCTTCTTCAATCACTGTAGCTCAAGAAGGGTTGATTGCTGTTGGAACCATTCAAGGCTTTAAGGAGGTGTATTGGTTCCACCACCCAGTGGCTGCTCAAACAAAAGGTCTAGTGGTGGTACTTGTTTCTGAGCTGCCTGTTGTTTTAGCAGTAAGGTTTGCCTGCTTGGTTTAGGCACCTTTCCAGCCAGGCAAGCAGATGTGTGCTAGTCAGGTCTCAAATTATCCTTCAAGCTAGTCCTACCTCAAGACTGAACAGGATTGTGAGAAGTTTCATGTAATTATTTGAAAATCTCAGATAAAACAACAAAAAATTTTGTATTCCTACAAAGCTGACCCTATACCTCCGAATGATATTTAAGTGGACACCAAACACATTTCCCTTGTCTGGTTCTATGGGAGCCAGTGCTCTTCAGCACATGACCACCAAGGCCCCTGGTGCCAAAAGCAGCCAGCTTAATGCCATCACCACAACTGGGCTTGGCTACGCCCAGAGAAGGACTATAGGTAAGCCTATGCTGCACAAAGCGTGTGTGCATGGTATGAGCCATTTTAATGCCTTTAGGTGAAATGTCACAGTGTTAAGCAACATGCCCCTGTTTCCTGTGCTGTAATTATTATTACCATTGCAATGTTTCGTTATTGCCACTATACTGCAGGTTATTTTTGTGTCACTCAGTATGTATTAAGTGTGGATGTGGCTCCCAAGAAGAAAAAGGGTGATATCACTTTGCTGAAAGTTGCAGACTAAGTTCAGAAAGTGACTGTGCTTTGTGTTCTTGATGAGGCAAAGTGTCATTTCCTCATGCTCCCTCCCTCTGTCACATTAGTCCTGAAATCTTCAGTGGGAGTATTTATGGTGGAAGCTACTACCAAATGTGAGTAATAGCATCAGTTTAACTTTGCATTAAAACATAATGCACTGAGAAGGGGCAAGAGTCCTCAGGCTTATTTCAAGGCCTATTTTTAGATAAGATATGCAGACTTTTCTTATCAAATAATTGGACATTGCAAGTAAAGGCAAGCTAACTTTTTAGAATAAAGTAGGAATTCATTTAAACCTTTTCTAAGCTTCCAATAAAAGGTAGATTTAGAGATTATTGAAGCCTTTGCACCTGATTGTAATAATTTATTAATGGGAAATGGAGAAGCACAAAAAAGTCTGAACCAGTTACAGTTCCTGCCCAATTTGCATAAGGACATCTACATGAGTTTCTGTATTGTTCTCATATTGCAGAGGTACAGTGAGGCCATAAACTTAAAGGTGTTTTACAGTCAGTATAGTCTCTTTAAAAAATGGGATATTCATATAAGGGAAGGGAAAGACTGGACAGAGAGATCACAGAGAGGCTCCAGATTCCTAGGAAATGATGTTTTGGTTCTAAGCCAACAAAATAATGCTGTCACAGGAAATGCCAAGAGCTGTCTAGATTTGTGGTGGGGGGGACTGTCGCTTATAAGATAGTCAAGATAATTATTCTGCTGTGCTTGACACTGGTGAAGTCTAATTTGGATGGCTGCGTTTCAGTTCAGGTATACAGATAAATTGGCAGAGTTCAAAGGAGAATAACAAAAAATGGTTTAAAAGTTTTAAAAAAAGGAGGCCTACAAGTGGGTATAGGTGTTCTGGAATAACTGAAGTGGTAGGAGGGGAGATTTGGGTTAAATATAAACAAAACTCAAAAGCTTTAAGAAAAGTTCAGCCACAGAACAAGCTGTCAAGGAAGGTTTTAGAATCTCCATTGCTACAGATACTGAAAGGCAGGAGACCATCTGTAAGGGAGAGTTCAGGGATAATTAAAAAAAAGTGCTATCACAATTTAGGAGTTGGACTAAATAATCCATTCATGACTAGATCTTAACAGATTGGAAGTGGCATGGCTACTCTTTTTTACCTTTTCACTGTGAAGATGGTCTTTATTGTAAAAAACAACATGACAATTTTGTTTGCATGATGGGGATTGTAGATAGGGAAGGATATATGTTTGAATATTTATAGTGAATAGGTATCTAATATTATTTTACCACAGTAAGAATGCTTTATCCTGGTTTTTTTCTCCATCATGCTTTGAATGTATGTATAGTGTGCAGCTTACAGCTGATATAGAAACAAAAAGCATTTAGATTAGTCCATTTGTCGTATCCCTTACTGAGGCAACTAAATAATGGTCCATTCCAGACCTCTCCTGGGACTTGTGATTACCACATTCAAAGAGATTTTAGATCAGGTGATAGAATCATGGAATGGTGTGCACTGCATGATTTTCATCAAGGGTCATCAAGCTCCAACCCCCCTGCCATAGGCAAGGCTGGCAACCTCCCCATTTAATACTAGACCAGGCTGCCCAGGGTCCCATCCAACCTGGCCTTGAACACCTCCAGGGACAGGGCATCCACAATCTCTCTGGGCAGCCTCAACACTCTCACAGTAAAAAATTTTAAAGGTCCTTAAAGGAAGCTTAAGGGGTTCTTCAGGGAAACTTAAGGGAACTTAAAATGGTTCAAATTTTTGAGTGGTAAATTGTTGATAATGGATATAGAGGAATGACTGCATCGTCTTATGGCGCTGAGATGACACTGGAGCCTAAATATCTTTTAGATTTCACTGTTGACTTTCAGCAGACACCTTAGTGAGCTTCTCCTTGCTGCAAAGCATCTGCTCGCTTATGGGTTTTAAGGAAATATCAAGCAACCTATTTTAAGTAGTCTTCAGTGGTGATACAGCTGTACTGACTTTATTCCAGAAATTTCCACAGACAATTGCCAGCTCTAAAATGGGATCTGGCAGGTAATAACTGAGGGCAGCAGAGTGTACCTAAGATACCTCCTCAGATGCAGAGACCTCAGGTTCTGCATCACCTAGGACAAGATAGCCATGTCCCCCCTATGGGCCATTATATGGTGTAGCTGAGTACCATTTCCTCCCTCTTCCACACATACCCCCCTCAAGCTTTGGCTTTCATGACCAATGAATTGTGACGTGCTCCAGCTGGTTTTCTGAGGAGCCGAGCAGGGACCATGATTGTGCATGGTGTGTGACCATGACCAAGATTCAATGGAGTGCATACATACCTTTCCATGGCAACTTTGCTTTGAAGAGGCTTTGCTTCTTTACAGTGTTATCCCTGGAATAAAAACAAATGTGAGGGTTCACTGTGAGGGACGTGGACATGGAGTCTGTTCAGTGGCCCCCAAACTCCTGATTTTGAGGGTAGTTGGATTCCATTGCCCCATCACACTAGCTCTGCAGTCAGTGCTAAGTGCAGTGACATGGCTGTGACAGAATGTGTGATGCACTGGGGAGAAGTTGGCAGAAAGCAGGCTGCAGATAAGAATGAAACAACAAAAAATTACCTGAGCTGAATAGAAAGCACCTTCAGATGACTCAGGGGGTTTCAGCAGAGATGTCTTTTATTCTTTTTTCCCAAACACGCTCCCCTTTTGCTCCAGTCACTCCCTGTCACCCTTCCTTCTCTTTTTCATACTGCTGTAAATGCTTTTACTTGCACATTTGCACAGCTGCGTATTGGCTACTATGCTTTAGAACAATTTCCAGAAGGCTGTTGTACAAGCTGAGTTATTGCTTGTTGGCTGAAACAGATTTCTCACTGCTGCTAACACCCAACAAGGGGGCTTGGTGGAAATTCCTCATTGTCCTACCCAGTAAGGAACTCATACTCTGCCCAGACCTGCTTGGAGTGATCTTTGCAATCACTAAGGCATAAGATACAGCACCCACAACTCGGCAGGGTCATACCATCTCCAGAGAGGTGGCTGCTTCATGGGGACTCCTCTGCCTACTGTACAGCTGCAAAGGCTGCCCCAGGCTTGTTTTGATCTGCATTGTACACCACTTGGGTAACAGAGGGCACAAAACCAGCAGGATGGAAGTGCGCTTATTTCCACAGCGTCTGTGACCTTCTGGTGGGCCAAGGGCTCCTGGCAGGTCTGCAAGGAGCCGGAGTCCACTCCTGCTGTGGCCTCACGGAGGCAAGCGTTAGTGTATTAAGGTTGCATGAGGGCACACCACAGTTTCTCTACGCTTACCTGTAAAGACAGTCTTTGTAAAATCCCCAAACCTTCCTAGAAGGTTCCCTTCTAAAATCTGTTGTTAATTTGCCACAGCTTATTTCCCAGCGTGAGGCAAAGGTTACCCAAAACAGCTGCTCTTTATGAGTTCCTCTAGAAGATGCAGGTGAATCTCACCCATTCCCCAGCAGTCTGTTATTATTCATTTTGTCAGTTTACTACAAGCTCTGTCCTCCTAAGGTTTTAGTTTGACAATGAATTCCTCAGGTTGATACATTCTTTAAGAGAAAAAAAGAAAAAACCCTGTTGTGGGAGCTTCTGCTGCAAGTGTCAATGCAAGATGAATTTCTACTTTCTGCAAGACCTCAGGTTCCCCACATCCCCATAGTCCTCCAGTAGTCTAGTAGTCTGAGAAGAGTTCAAAAAAAGTTATAGCTGCAAGATGCAGGCTGGTTTTTGGCTCGTCTTTCTGTATTTAATTTGATAGAATTCGTGTCCTTTATTTTTTTTTAATGTCACCATTCTTGTTCCTTCCGATGGTGTTTCTCTGCTTCTAATAGACTCCTTTGTTGTTCAGCTTTATAGGTTGCTTTCACGGTCCAGGCAATGATGTGAACAGGAGCTATCGAATGCTTGGGTAATTGTTCTGATTATTCAAGCATAGGTTATTTTCTTTTGGGACAATCTGATACGCAATTTGGAGCAGAAACAGATGTGTGTGGGCAGGGCGTGGGTGTACGTGTTGAGAGTCATAACCCTGTTTCCTTAATACATGCTGTTCTGAATGATCTTTCGTGTTACCTACAGGAAGTGGTGGGATTTCAGCACAGATATCCACCTAACTTAAATCTTGCTGTTCATGACTTGGTAACTCCCAACTACGTAGTGCCAGTGAACTAGAAAGCTTGGTTAATGTCTGGAAGTTAAAGACTCAAATTAATACCTGCAATGTGTAAATGTTCTCTTTTTCCTATCTTAGTGAAACTCTTGGTTGGAACAAACTCCTTCCCTCATATCCCTAATACCCAGGTAGATCTTAGAAAAGTATGAGTGATAAGAAAGGAAATTTAAAATTGCCATCTTGGCTATACACAAAGGATGAAAAGAAAGACTTGAGAGCGAGAAAGCTTTCTTCTTTTGGGAATCTGAACTGAATGTGTGATGCAAGGAGTCTCATAAAAAGGACACTGTCTGACAAGGGCAGCCACCATTAAAGCCAATATTGTATGAGCTCACTATTTCCTCATTACATTTCGCTGTATATTAAGACTGTATTTATAAGATGCACTCTAAACTTTGCATTAAAGAATAGCCCTGCTACTGAAAGAGACATAATTCATTTACTAACAGCCCTCGTTGCTGTGCTCCAATATAGTAATTGCTTTCACTGTGTCCCACCCATATGATTATTCCTGTTGTGTAGGAAATTTAAGTCCAAGGAATGTCAGATCAAATATAAAAGCCTAGTGCTTACCCAGAGTTTTTATTCAATTAAATAGCTATTACAGAGCTCATGCTATTTCACATGACATAATGCGGAACGCAAACGTAGTCCCTTATTACAGACATATGTTCATCTAAACAAAATGACACCAACGCAATCCAAACCCAGTAAAATTTTTCAATTATTATACTAAGGTGATTATTAGATGATGAGCAGTCTCTGGGAATGATAAGGGGGGGGATATGCAGCCTCCATAAGTTACACTTCAAGCACAGCAGCAATGTTGTCTGATAAACCTCATTTATCCTTGAAATTCCTAAATAGAGAGAATAGATGCTTCTCCTGGAGTGGAGCACTCAGCTGTGGCTCAAAGAACTCTGACTTTACTAGTGATGTGCAGTAGTATGTCATGCACACAGCCGGGGCCTGACAAAGGTGCCTAAGGCAGCATCTAGGCAGCATTTAGGGGCTTATCTCTGAATTAAGATCTAAAAACATCCTGTCATTTCCTGACCAGTCTTGCTGTGTTTATTGAACACCTCACACACTCTCTCTGCACATCACTTCTGCACTGCACACAGGATCCATAAGACTTTCTCTACCCAATATCTCTGAGGGCTCTTCCTAATAAGCATGGTACCAGAGTTTCTACTGCCTGCTATCACATTTTAGCTTCTCACTAAATTGGCTGCCCAGTGCTTTAAGTGCCTTAATCCATCTAAGTCTGCAGTCTTGCAGCCTGACTTTCACTCAAAGCTTTGAACCTTTTCAGTATCACTGCTCCAAGGTGTGACTGCTCCACGTCCCACATATGGGATGTGATTGCCACAGCATAAGATCTTCACTTTCCCTCCATTCCTATCCCTCTGTGGTAGCTTCCAGTTTATGTGAGAAGCCTGACGCTCTGTCGTCTGTCATGTCCTGGCAGGTGGGAGAGTAGACAGCAAATGCCACTACACAGAGCTGGAAATTAAACCTAAATCTCTCACACCTGAAGCAGTTTCAGTTCCAGGCTGTTTAGCTAAGAGTAGGCAGACTGCCACCTCTCAGCTCACCTATCTCTGTCAGACTGGAGGTGAGGATCATGCTGCTTTCTTGGAGAATTGCTGCAAACACCAATCCTTCTGAAAACACTTCTGTCTCTAATTTCCCCAGGGATGAAGATGCCTACTGGGACCCTTACACCTGCTTCTGAAACTGAGAAGAGAGTGGGATTTTGGCCATGTCTCTGTGTAGTGAATACCCTGTTTGCTCCATCTAAATAGCTCACTTTTCTGTCTGCAAGAAACCACGAAGACCACTTCTGAACATTCCCTGTGCCTTATATAGGCTGCTAATTTCTGATCAAGTGTGAATCCAGGCAAGATTTTTACTCGGGTTTAGCCTGGAGTTGTTCTGCTGCCCTTTTACAGTAGAGAGAAAATAAATGTCCCGATGTAAGAAACATCACTGTGGCTGTTTTCTATTAATAAAAAACTGGACTAATACAGTGATACAGGGTTTCATGCAAAATTGCTTTAAATTACAAATAGTGTAGATGGAGACAGGGAGTCTGTTATGATTTACTCATCAAACACTACAAACAATAGGAAATAAGAGAAATGGCATAGAAATTGTTACTGACTAGATGGAGAGTGAACAGAGTACAGAGGGTCAGCTTCTATTTTTAGAAATTTAAAAAAAAACAACTTCCAAAGACATCTGAACTTGGATTTTCCTTTTTTTCCTCCGTAACAGTCAATGTAGTCCAAGCTGGATTTTATCATTCAAACAGGAAGGACAATGACAATTTCCCCACTTAAGCCACTTTACTGGCATAATTGCAAGACACAAATGTCTGTGGTTTCCTACAGCTCTTATCCTCCTGTCAGCTTCTGTCTGCAACTTTTTACTTTAAGCTTATTATGAGAAAAGGATTTTATTGTTACATTTGGTTGGCAGCTGGAATTCTCCGAATGAGGCAAACAGGGCTGAGGCACATGCTTTCATCCCTCAGCAAAATCCTTGTAACATACGGTGCTGTGATGTCTCCAAGCTTTAAGTGAAGAGGAAAATAGGCATCTGGGCTGGGTTCATTTGTAACGCTGCGCTTGCTAGATTTATATGAAACGACAGATGAAGGCAGACACTTTAATTACTTCACCCTAACTTTTTATTACAACATCAAGTAAAATGGTGAGTTACAGAGGATAATGGGTGTGAAACACCTGGGATGAAGTCACACAAGAGCTTATGGTTTATTATCTGCCAATGGGGCTTTAAATATTGATCATTTCTGTACATGCATCTTTGTGATATTTCTCATTTTCTTGATAAAGCATTTCAGGGTTACTTTGCTTTCAGCTATAAGGTAGCTGCTAGGACTGGGACCCCGCTTTTTTCTTCTGGAATTTCCTGAACTGGGACTGTATTGCCACCGCCGCCCGCTCTGTCTCTGGTGCATCCATGTCTATGTCAAATTCCTCTTGAACTTTCTTTTGTCCATCTGCCAAAGAAAGCAAAACAAAATATCAGTACATTTTTCACATAGACACAATCATTGGACAGCACACATGGAACACCATGTCCCTCTCTCCTGCACAAACACAGCCACAATGATGTGGAGCATATTAAAAAAAAATCTCTGTGACCAGTTTTGGCTAATACAGCTGATCAAACCCAACCCTCCCCCAAAACAGCAGCAGCTCTGATAACCTGTTTATAGCTAAGTCATTGACAAGTGACATCCAAGAGGTGCTCAGAATTCATTACACAATAACCTGACACATGACGAAGTCCTCTTCTGCCTGAGAAATAAACAGTGAGGGGCTGGGGGATGCTCCTGTGCTTCCATGAGGCAGAAGTTACATCCTCATGTTTACTTCAGGACGATGGCACCTTAAAACATTTTAAAATAGGAACAGGATCTTTATTCCTATCCCATCACCGGTGTTAACAGGAAGAGATATTACTTCCTAAGTCTAATTTCCCTCCTTTTCACTTGTTTCCTGCCTCATCCCTTCCAGCACATACTGCTCTTCCCTACTGAATCATTTATGTTCAATCTCTTTTTTTGCCACTGTCACTCTTCACAGGCTCAGTTATTGCCTTTCAGCCCCGATCTTTGGCTCCTTGCCTTCCTTTATGCCCATTCTTCAGCTTCAGTTCAATTACATTAGGTCTCCACACAGACACAGTCCAGCTGACTTCGCTGAATTTTGTTTTATCCACTCACAGCTTAAAAGTGCAGCAGTAGGAAAACTTCTGCCCTCTTTGCAATGATAGCTCTAATCTGCCTGGACTAACAAAGTGAGAACACATACCCACTCCACCAGCCTCAACATACCACTGAGATTCTCTGCTCTATGAAGTTAGTTATTTGCTCAACTCACATTGTTGTGTCTCAGTCCCACTGTGACCTTGTGAAATCAGCAATAAGAAAATGAAAACTGATTTACTCGTCCTTACGTCAAAATGTATCCTCCATTAGTAGGATCCTGTTAACGTTATTGTGAGGAGGATATCACTTACAGAGAAATATTCTTGATATGTTTTAGCAAAAATTTTACACTAGTAATGAAATAAATTGTTAATCAGCTCTGAAACCAATGAAACTAAATGCTGTTGCTGTCGAAGAGAGCAGACCTCAGTGCTGCCCCTCCACTCCCTGTGAGGAGCTGCAGCTGCCATGAAGCCTCCCCTTCAATTTAGTGACATTTGCAAAATTATTTAATATACCTTCCAGACCAGTACCCAAGTTATTAATGAAGACATTGAAGAGAACTTGTCCTAAGATGGAGCCCTACAAAATACCCATGGTGACTGGCTGCCAGCTCATTTACTATAACCCTCTGCGCCCAAACCATCAGTGAATTGCTCATCCATTACATTATAGTTTTGTCTGGCTGTATGCTGGGACATGTTGTCCAGAAGGATACTCTAAGAAACAGTATCAAAATCTTGGCTGAAATCCAAAAAGATAACATCAACTGGCTTCTGTTGGTCAACTAGATGGGTAGCCTTGCAGCACAAGGAAATTAAGTTTGTTGAACAGTACTTTCCCCTGGTGAACCCATGTTAGCTGTTACCTGTGACTGCACTGTCTTTCAAGTGCTTTTCCGTAATTCCCAGAATAATCTCCACAATATAACCAGGCACTGAAATGAGACTAATGGGCCTGTAATTACCAGAATCTTCTTTCCAGCCCTTCTTGAAAACTCAACGTTTGCCAGCTACCAGTTAACTGGGAGCTCTCCAGATTCCCAAGACCACTGGAAAATAATTGAGAGAGGTCTCACAATGACATTAGTCAGCTTTTTTTGCTCCCTGGGATGAATCCCATTGAGCAACATGAACTACTGTGCATTCATCTGGAGCAACAAATCCTGCACAGGTTCAGGGTTGACTGGGAGTTCTGTGTCATTACTGCAGTGATGGTCCTCCAACTCTGTGACCCCCAGAGACCATCATCAGCATTGAAGACAGGCAAAGAAGGCATCAAATATCTCTGCTTTATCTATGTCCTTTTCTGTGAGACAACCATCCTCATCAAGTAACAAACCAGTGTTACCTTTGATCCTCCATCTGCAGCAAACATACTTTAAAATGCCCTTTTTAGTGTCCCCCACAGTGGCCAGCTTCAACTCTAATTGAGCTTTGGCCATACAATTTTTTTTCTCTTCAATGGTGAACAGCATTTCTGTAGTCCTGCCAGGTAGCCTGACTTCACTTCTAATGGATGAATTGACACCCTTGGTAACACTTGATGAAATCTGGCTTGTATAATTTATGTCCTGCAACAATCTTAAAAGGATGTTAGTTTGCAGTAGTGACTCAGCAATCTTAGTAATACTTATAGTCTCAGAAAAAAAAAAAAAGGCTTTATTCACTAGAATTTTTAATTAATCTTGCCTGGTATGAATTATTATTACTGCATTAAAATCAACTGTGCTACAACAATTCAGCATACCTGAAGATCCATTTTACTTCTATTTTTGGATCCATTCTTGTTGAAATGAAAACCAAAATTCCTAATGAATTCTTTCTGCACCTCTATTTTTCAATCAATAGAAACGTATGGACCATCTGTTTTCAGCCATGATTTAGACTTGAAAATCAGAAGCATTCAAAATAAAAGATATTTTAAAGCGTAACTAAGACTTCCATTGCTTGCTTACAAATGGTACAGAAATACACAAATGATTAATGTATATTATAACGAAGCATGTGTATTATCTACATATAATGCATATGACATACCTGTGTTTTCTTTCTTCCCATATCCATCCTCATCTTTCTATTTTTCATGTATGTGTATACCCACATTTGAATTCATAGAGAGTATACATAAATATATATAGAAATACACAGACATTTCTTTAAAGAATTGTAAGTCTTGTGTTAAACTGAAAAGAGCTAAATGGGGTATTCCATAAAAGCTGGGAATTAGATTGTCTTGCAGTTCTCCCCCAAACAGTTTCTACTGATGCCTGTCAAAACACAGACACTGTAACAGATGGATAGTTGATCTGGAGGAGAATGTAATGGTGTACCTCCTTCAGCTTTGTCTACGTAAAGGAAAAATATTTTTTTAGATTTTTGTATGTTGCTTTACTAAAAGTAGCCTAATGATTGGAAAAATATCACACCCCACTATGACCACTGCTTTTGTTTTACCGGTTAGCTAATGTTAAAAATACGAGTTAAAAACAGACCCACTTAATCACAATGAAAATCCAACCTATACACAGGTCTTGCATAAATTAGACATGACCTTACAGCACCAGTAAGAATGACAAAGCTTTTTTGTACCCTTTCTACAATGTATGTACCTAAGCCATGCTAGCTTTATCCATTAATTCTGCTCACATATTTCAAACATGCAGGTTAATAAGCTTGAATGCTCAGATTAAATTGCTCAAAGTAAATTGAATGCAAGTCCATGCAAATGTCCTTCTTTTGTTCACTGACTCCCATGCCTAGCTTTTCTTTCATAAGTAATAACTAGCTTGGAAGTGATCTGCAAACACAGACAATTTTCCCTGTCAGCAGGCCTGCAAGCTCTTGCATAGTTTACAGCCAGACTTTGAGTCTAGTTCTGAATTCTCTTCCTTCTTTGTCACACACACAATTTTGCTGGTATCTACACTTTTTAGACTAATTTGGGTGCATGGTTTTCCACACAGATATCAAATATCTCTGGTCTTCTTTCACAGGCCAACAAGAGGAGTCTGTGTCAGTAGACTTCAAAATCCAAAAAGGACTCATGATTTTGAGGGGTTTGGAAATCGAAATCGGTAGAGTCACCAAGAGTGCCAGCTTGTATCAACAGCTAGGATCAACACCAACAGGGGAGGTGGAAAAAGCCAACCATAGCTATGTATCATCTCAGGGAAATCTGAGATGTGACAGAATGAACTCCATGGAGCACAACACTGACTTCTTGTTGAGTCCCATCATCATCATGCCCATGACCAGTTGGCACTACAGACTAATTTCATGGTCCTAAAGACTGAGACAACTTGCACAGTCCAAACTTCACTTCCGTATATCAATAGTCATCCCAGCAGGAGAGCCTGAAACTGCATCTAATTAGCTGTTTTCCAAATCCAAAATCCTGAAAGCTCATTTCACATTGCTGCAATTGAAAAAGTTTACTTATTCAATTTCCAGATGAAACATTAGAAAGTCATCTCTGTAATCTGCTGCAGTGCCTCATGAGCCATTGCAAACACTGGATGGATAATGAAACTGTCTGAAACAAGGAAAACAATAAAATTTTACACGTTCAAATCTACCCAGCAGACAACTCTAGAGAAATGCAGTGCAAGTGTAATTATTCACAAATATGCCTTCAGCAATTTCTTTCATTTACTTTTTTCGTATAAAGAAAAATTGAATTACAACAACACTGGAAAATGAGATCACTGTTCATTCACTATAGGCCAAAAAGCTAAAAAGAAATTTTCTGTGGCCTTGAACAAAGAGGTAATAGACCAATGTTTCTTAGATGTGTTCACTGACAGACAAAAGCTGATTAGCTGGATTTGGAGGAAAAGACGACTCACTCTTCATCATCAGAATTTCTCCATTCACCAGACGAAGTAGAGTCACTTCTACTTCTTTTGCTTGTCACTGACTGGAAAAATACACAGCATGAAAAATTGTATGGGCTGGAGACTCTAAGTGTCATTTCATGTCTTTAAGTGCTATCCTCCATCTCTGCTCACCCAGCCCACATTCAATAGGAATTATGGGACTATACTAAAGATGGAATGTACTCAGGAAAATACTGCATTTTTTCAGGGAGTAAACTGCAGCATTTAGAAAAAGGCTAAATGAAATGTGGGACAGAATCACAGTGCCCCACAACATGCTGGAAGCAGTGCTTTGCCTTAGGCAGGATCATTACCTCCTACTGTTCAAAAGATTGTTCAAGCTGTGACAGTGTTTATGCCACCCTGATCTCAAGCTATTACACCAGTCTGTCCAATGAGGCAGAACAGT